ACTGCTGAGCGGACTGAGGAGCAAGGAACGAAGAGAGACGAGGAGTACATCAATCCAAATGGGTTTAATTAATACAAGGGACCACTCACGCAATACATGTAGACATAGACATGAACATGACCTGAACAATACCGGACCCTGGAGCACACACAGGGAACACTATTTATACACACAGGAGGAGGGGATGACGAGACACACCTGGGAGCAATGAAACATCATGGGAAACACCAGGGACAAATTAAACATGGGAAAGGAAGGCACATGAGGAAAACAACCACAAAACACAGAACAGAGTCTGACACTGTGACCCTAATGCTTTCAAACACTTTAATGTGGATTCTGTAACGGTTACATCTTACTGTCACACATTATGATACTGTTTCCTGACATATAAAATTATCTTCCATGTTCCTCCATCACACAGCAGCACGGTCAAACCCCAGGACTCCTTCATGGGCGGCAACTATGTTGTGTTCCATCTGTCACGGCATTGATATCTGTGCTTTATCCTTTATGTCCTTTCAGATGACACATGCACGTGTATCCCAGGAGCAACGAGCTCTCTCTTCATTTAAAATAAACACTCAGGAAGCTTGCCTTCTAAATTGCATACATATGTTCCCTCATTTGCATTGCTCTTGAACTTCATTTGAACACATTCTGAATCTCAATGGCTTTAATGGTGCATCTTTGTACTTCCTCACGACAATGTTGTTGGTTAGATACACTTCAAGTCGCTCTTTTCTTGTCCTGGACTTCATAAACACAATGTAGGAGTGTAAGAGTTAAACATTTCACACACGGAGTGACTATTTTCCTCTTTCCTCAATCTGTACAGTACATATTTCAGCCTTTCTCTCACGCTGTGGTGGTTGACACTTTTTCTGCATGATGACTTGTACATCTGTCTCATCTGGCACACATGCCTGGCTAAGCATTTGCAGTTCAATGCTGGTGTGCCTTAAACTGTGAGTGTAACCTTTTCCTGGCATTCGAGCCATCAGGCTACATTAGCGCTGGGGGTGGCTGGTATGTTTGGGAACAACATGGTCTGTGCTGTGACATCCAGCTCCCAGCATCCCTGCTTCTGTTCTCTGCCACGTGCCTCCGCCCCAGGAGCCGTCGCTCTCCCAGCTAACAAAATCAAAATGACAAACTTGGGCCTTCATATGCTAACAATACTTGCAGTGCTTCTCATCCCCTTGGATTTATTTTGTTGTTACTATTTTTTTTATTTAATCACAGTGAAATTAATAATAATTTTTGCACCAATTAACGCTCTTAAATTTCTAAAATTTCTAATAAAGCTCTTTCTCTCTCTCTTTCTCTATACAGCTATATAACTGACTATTTATGCAAATAACAATTTTTAATTTCATTTTAGATTTTGTTGTGAATTTTTACATGCATTTTTGTAAAACTTAATTTTATTAGTTTTTGCTAGTGAACTATGTATTTATTTATTTATTTATTTATTTATTAATTTATTGAAACCAGATATATAAATATATCAAATAAGAATTAATATCAAAATACTTAGTATTTATCCAAATGATATTTTGTCTTTTTTTATTTGGTATATACATATATA